AAGCAATTAAAAACTGTTAGAAAACAATTAAGGATACATAGACATATCCTAAATTACTCTGATAGCTAAACTTATTTTGCTGTCAATGCTTTGGATGAAAAATAGCACAGCTTTGGCGATTAGTTTATATTAGAGCAATTGGCTCTTGGATTGTTAAAATTATGAGTTAGGAAATGTACTTCAATCATGTTGAGTTGTATTACCTACGTTATTATCATATATATACACATATATCTTTTATCTATTAAGTCTAATTGCTATTAATTTGAATTATTTGTTAGCGTTATTTTATCTAGTTAGGCTGCCTTATTTGTGATGTAAGGCCTCTATTATATTTTCATTGCGCCTCACTGTTCATATTATTATCTTTGTATATATAAGCGGTAGCATTTATTCATTTATTTATTTATTTATTTCTTTTGTTATATGTTTTTAGTTAGTTTAATTTATGGTACTAGGTGTATTGTTGATTTATTGATCCTCTATATATATTTATATTTATATTTATTTTTCGTTTTCTTAACAATTTAATGAAGTGTTAAATATATTTTATAAAATGTTATCCTTTTTTACTATATTATATTTTGATTTTGTTACCTGTACTATCACACTGTTATAATTCATTTTTTTATACTTATTTATATTATTCTCATTTTATATTATAATATATTATGGGAGCGAATGCGTGTATCGCCAGTTATTGTCGCGAATTTGTGGTGTGGTGTGACACTTGGTGTCGTGGATGGCGATTGCGTGTGCGTGTGGTGCGTCTCGCGCTTGAGTGTGGCCTGCTGCACTGCGACGCTCGCAATCGGCCGTGGAAACTGGTCCTTGGTCCGTGGAGGGTATCCGTCCTCGACCAGCAATGTGGCGGACCAGCGATGTGAGTGTCAGCACCACTCAATGCGGAAGGGTAGCAGCCAAGTATCGCGATGCGTTAGGTAATAGGAGCGCAAGCTGAAGGATGTGGAAGGTTGCATGCACGCTAACAATCATGGAATGCGGAGTTAAATAAAAGCCATTATATTTAGAAAAAGGAAACAAAAGAAATGCTACATATGCAGGCGGAACAGTCTGTGTCCCGCGGGAAAAGCGCGTAGGCGAGTCGGTCGCGTCCGTCTCTGCGCGTGCGCGCGCCAGTTCCTGGAGCCTCTCCCGGCGTCTTTCGCGAGCTCCGGCTCCTCCTCGGCGCGGCCGGGGGTGAGCGTCGCGGGCTTGACCGGTGCCGGAGGCAGTGGTCTGCGTGGCGGCCTCGGTGAAAAACCGGCGAGTGTCACGGCGCGGCGGTCGATGCTGCACGTGTTCGAGCTCAATTGTGCAGAGCTGCCATGGCCTGTCCGGCTGCGCGCCGAGCTCCAATGAACGGCCAGGCGTCGGTGGTCGCTCTGGTGTGGAGACGCTTGAGGAGGCCGAGGGGCTAGTCGCGTCCCCTGCGGGCGGAGGCAGACGGCGGCCGAGGCAGACTGTCCTCGGAGGAGGAAGCCGAGTCGAACAGGTCCAGGAGTTGTTGCCTGCGCTCGGGTGAGCTCTTGGCTCGTCGCCCGGTGACTCGTCCCTAGCCGGTGCGCGGTGCGGGAGATGTGTGTCCTGGCCGCGCAGTCAACGGCGGCGAGCGTTGTGGTGCTGGCGCCTCCTGGATGGTGGACAGCGA